AACTGTATTTTGGAGTTTTCCACAAACAGATCATGTACATATTTGTCAAATTATACCTGAAATATAATGATCATATTTTTTAAAAAATCCAAATTTCTCACTGCAATTATGTAGGAGAGCAGTTAATTTTGGTATAATGACTTTGTATCTTGCAATCTTGCAAATAACTCAGTTATTAGTTCCAGGAGTATTTTTAAGATAAAAAATCATGCTATGTGAAAAATGATAGCTTTATAGCTTTATTTCTTCCTTTTAAATCTGTAAGTCTTTTATTTCTTTTTCTTGCCTTATCATACTAGCTAAATAGGACTTCCGGGAAAATGTCAAAAAGGATTAGTAAGAGAGGACATCCATACCTTATTCCGAAAGTATGTTAGCAGCAGGGTTTTGGTGGATTTTTAAATTTAGATTAAGGAGGTTTCCTTCCACTTGAAGTTTTTTGGGTTTTTATTATAAATTAGAGTTAAATTTCATACATTTCTTATTCTGTGTTTGATCTTTAAATCAAGACAAGTTATTTAAGATATCTATAGCTCTTATTTTTTTACATAATTAAATAAAATTAATCTTTATTTTTCATGAAAGCAAAAAAAACTAAAATATATATTTAGTGTTTAAGCACATAACAGCATTAGATTAATATTTCATTTCATCATGAAATTAATAGAAAAGTAATTAAAGGTAATTATGTTATTTAAAAGATATACTGCTTAACTTTTTTTTCCCAATTATGTATTATACAAAACCATGAAAGATATTTCATAACTTAAGGAATAAAGTTCTTAATCTTTTACTGTAAATGTGATTTAAGAATATAGCAAAGACAGTTATTTGATCATTCCATCAGTTTGAAAGTATTTAGCTTATGTAGTGGACCTAATTTTTAAATGATACTTTGCCTGATGTTGGGAAATTTATGACAAAAAAGTGTAGTATGGGGCTGGGGATGTGGCTCAAGCAGTAACACGCTTGCCTGGCATGCACGGGGCGCTGGGTTCGATCCTCAGCACACATAAAAAAATAAAATAAAATAAGATGTTGTGTCCACTGAAAACTAAAAAATAAATATTAAAAAAAATTCTCTCTCTCTTAAAAAAAAAAAAGTGTAGTATGTCAAGACTATGGTTCCTAATATTCCTAAACATAGTATTAAAGAATATGGTTTCCTAATATTTTAAAGAGTCATATGATGGTAAACCTTTATTTTAAATTTTATTTAAAACATTAAGTTTCAGTATATGCTGGGTCAAGAACAGTATACAAAATAACCTGTGCCAGAGCCATGGAGGATCCCTCTGATTAGCTTGCTGTGGTGAATGGGCCAAAGGTTAAACCATCAGTCCATTTCCCAGTGTCTACTCAACAGTGGCTTTCTTTGTATTTCTTCATTTGTTAAAGCAATACAGCAAGAGTTATTGAGAGGTAAAACAAAGCAAGTCTCACATCAGACACTGATGGCTTTTTAAAAAGTTGGAATGGGATGTCACTGAATGTTCTAAAGGGCATATTGATAGAACTACATCTTTGTGGAAGTCACTGCTCCAGAATGAACTATAGTAGAAATCAACATTATGCATCAGTGATACTCCTGTCGATATAAATAAACGTATGTCTAGTGAACAAATTTCAGAGAGTAATGCTATAGGCTGGGAGAGTGAATTTTATTTTTTATTGTAAGCCGTAGTTTATTTTCCTTAGCAAATTAATTAGGGTAGATAATTTTCTATATAAATAAACCTTTCATTCATCAGATGTAACTTTAAGCATGATGTAAGAGAGAAACTAGTTAATTTAAGTGTAGAATGCTACTAGAGGCATGAAATATTGTTTAGGGACTTTCCTGTAGTGGCCCCAGTGTATTTCTTAGCTTCCATGCAGATTAGGTCTTGAACAGCTGCGCAGAGCACACAGAAATTGTGATTCCTGCCTCTGTGAACTAACTTGAATAAAGTCTTTCATCTAGAGATCGCAGTTTTGTCTGATTCATGAATCCCTCATCTCATCTTTGAAGGGCCCATTCAGTTTGATACAGTTCAACTTTGTGGTTTAGAGTTCTAGAAACTGATGTTGTAATTTATAATGCACAAAAAAATTTTAACATAATTTCATGCTTTTTTGAAAATTAGATAAAATCCACTTTAAAACTATGTTTTTTGTAAAGACTTTTTGATAACTTGCAATTCTAGCTTAAACTTAACTAGGCGTCATGTTTATGACTTTAAGAATCTTAGCAAATGTCCTATTTTTCTGTATTTATAACAAGGTAAAAGAAATGTATGTGTGAAAGGACTTGGTAATTTAGTTCATTTGTTCTGTATGGAGAGTACTGTCACTCTGCACAGTGTTCTGGTCCTGCTCATGAGTGAGAAGAGGTCCATTTCACATCTATGTTCTGTGTGAAGTGTTCTGCAAATACTTAAAGAGCCATTTGATCGTTGTTCAAGACCTAATCTGCTAAACAATTTGTTAGCAGCAATCAAACAGAAAATGTAACTTATATATAATTTGTAAAGAAAATGCCACCTGATCTTTTCCTTATTTGGGTACTTTACCACATTGTACCACATATGTGGTAGTAACCAAGCCTAACATTTTATTTTGTATACTTCTTATTCTTCTCCAACCACTGAGCTATATCCTCAGTCATTTTTATTTTTTATTTTGAGACAGGGTCTCATTAAGTTGCTACAGCTGGTCTTGAACTTGCAATCCTCTGGCCTTAGTCTCCCGAGTCCCTGGAATTACAGACAGGCACCACTGTATTCAGCAGGAACCGGAAAAGTTTTAATTAAGTATTTCTAACTCAGAATATCAAAAATGCAAAAGGAGATTACTGTCATACATTAGAAACAGTAATGTAGGAGGCATTAATTTATACAATCAGTGAATGTTATTAGTAATTAAATGCTAGTCTCTGTACTATAACCTACGGCTATAGTGATTTAAATAAATAAGAGAGAAAATCTTTACCTGATGGAGCTTGTAGTCAACCAGACAACTATAATTTAATCAGATACTAACCATCTATAAGAATTATGAATGAGTAGTGTTGTATGAGAGAAAATAACTGGATAGAGGGTGAACTACTTTATGTAGAGTGGTTAGAAAAGTCATTTTAGAGAAAGACACAAAAACTTGAAGTATGAAAGTGTGCCTGGATTGTGTGCTCTAAATATGGTTTCTTACTGAAAGGAGTCAGGTATTACAGAGAGAAGCAGATCTGTGAAAGGATCTGTTAGAGAAAACAAAGAAGCAAACAAATTCTTGGGGTACAATATAGAAGCCAACTTGAAAGGCACAATTTGAGGACAATTTGAGCATCTAAAGAAAAATGACTACAATTAATTGGAACACATCATTGTTTAAAATACATGAGTTTAAAATGTTACTTTTAAAATTCATTACTCATCTGTGGAACAAAATTGAACAATCAAATATTTATCCCATCTTTTCTCTTAAGAACTGTACCTCAAAGCAATAAAATAGTTCAGGGATGGATATTCTTTGTAGAATTATAGCTAATAAATGCAGGAAGAATGATAAATTGTTACGCTGGATTGAAATGAAATTAAATACCTATGCAATGAAACTTTTCACATTTTACTGTATGTACTTTTGAGTGTTTTGTGTTAGGAAATATATGTATCAGTTTAAAAAGCAGTGAGACAGAGTTCAGCAAGTAGGAATGGGAGTGGTGAGAAGATATTTCATGCCATGGGAATTGTAGGAATAAGGTACAGAAGTGACAAAATACTGCATATATTCAGGGAAACCTTAATAATTGGGTTTCCCAAAGTATGAGATAGGTTAAGTGAAAGTATTATATATTGTAGAATACAATTCCTGGAAATAGTGGAACCAAACTATTGCCAAGTTCAGGAAGAACTTGAGATTCTAAGGTGCATCAGTTCCTGCTACACTTTGGAATAAAATGATGCTATTTCAACAAAAGCTCTCAATAATGAATTTAATTAAGCCAAATTGATTTGCCAGCAGATCTTATTAGAAAGTTACCTTGTATAGAGTGAAACATTGATTTTTTAGTCGAACAACGTTTGCTTAAAGTAGATGGTCTATGAATTTCTGTGATTATTCTTCATTTCAGCATAGTATTCTTCTTATTATTTTTTTTTACACCTATAAGGTAGAAATCAATATCCCAAAATTAATGATTTCTTTAAAAATCCAATTATGTTGGCCCTGCTATAATGTTAGAGGACCATGGCTATTATTATCTAAAAGTAATATGTTACATAATTGGAATGAGTATTTTTAACTTCATTTCCCAACAAAAAAATATTCAAGAGTCCCATAGCTCCTCCATATTATAGATAGATATTGTTTTGTCCAGATTTATATTGCATAGATAATAGTAAGTGGGTTTATTTTTTGGTAGAACTAATTTATTTGATTTGAAATGATTTGTGTTATTATTTTTTTGTTTTGTTTTTTTGTTTTTTAAAGAAAAAAAATCTCGAGTCTGTCTGGAGAATTACTAGTATGATACACCACCAAAGTTTGCTCATTAATCCTTAAGCCATTGTTTGTCTGTTTGCTCCAAATTAAATGCAGTCTTCCTTCTCTTGAATGTGAGAATTTGTTGCTAGGACTTAGAAATGTACCCACACCTCAGCTAAGGAACGGTGGGAAACTGAGATGTCAAACTGTGTGATCCAAGCTCTGGAGTTGGACAACCGTGTTCCCTGTTTCATACCAGAGATAGTTTGTTCTATGGTTAGTCGAATGGTCTGGTGAAGTGAAATGCATATCACTTAAGTTTCAGTGTCTTCATCCTCAGGCTCATCTTTTTCCTAAAAATGGAGACGAGAGGACTGGACAATAACGAGAGAAGTTTGTGATGTTCTGTCATTGGCTCTTTACTTCTGAATTAAATTTTCACTTGGAACAATGGGATTTTCTAACTAATATGTTTTAATGGAAAGACCTTCCTTTATGACGCAATACTTATTTTAGAAAAAAAAATATATTTTTTTTAACAGGGTATCCAGAAGTTGGCTAGTCAGTACCTGAAGAGAGATTGGCCTGGAATAAAAGCTGATGATCGGAATGATTACAGGTAACTTAACTAAGTGGTTTTTGCTTGTTTTCTTTAAAAATGGTTTTACTCAGAGCCTTATTACATACAGCTAACATAACAGTCTAATTTTTGAAAGAATTGTTTTTTTGCTATGTTTTTAGACACAATTTCAGAATGATAAATTTTTTATTTTCATTTTTTACATTTTTAACATATGTAGATACTCTGTATAAATTAGGTCATTTTCCTATGTCTTATACTGAGGTTGCATATAATTTCTTTAATATCCACATGTGAGATATAAAGAACCTAGATGGCAGTGGAACACAAATTTGTTTTCTTGCTGACCTATGATAAAACATATTATTGCAACAATAATGAGGCAGATTGTACTATACTGTCATGATCATGGATTGTTTAATTCTGAAGTAAATTCTGAATTTGGAAAGATGAGATTTTTGTGGTACTAGGGGGAAAAAACTTCTAATATGTTTTAAGGGAAAGAGCTTCCTTTATATAACAATACTTATTTTAGAAATGTGTGTATGTGTATATAAACAGGGTATCCAGAACCTGGCTTGGTAATATCCTACATAATTAATAATAATATTAATTAATAATTTTAAAGAAGATATGTTGTGATGGGATATAAATTGTCCTTAGTAACCTATCAATATTGAATGTGTAATTTTGTTTAGAATTCGATGTCTTTTGGGGGGTTAATTTGGTAGTATGTGTTGCCTTTTGTGCTCAAGGCTGTTCTTAATATTGGAGGACCCAGAAGTCAAAGATCTTAGAACTGGCTATATGGTTGGAATTAAGAAACAATAATAGAGAACCTATGGTAATGAAGAACTCAGTATTGAAGTGTATGGTTTAGAGTCTGAACATGAAATCAAGCTTTTGAATTGTCAGTAAAGACTGGCAACTATCAGAATTTCTGAAGTATGTGATAATGGGGCTAGAAAGCTCAAGCATATACAAGAAACCCTAATAGTTCCTCTCAGTGACTAACTTAGAAGGTAGCATGATAGCTTTAAATAATAGAATGGTATAATTCCAACTTAGAGTATTAAAACAGAAAATAAAATTCTAGGCAAAAAATGACAATTGGAACAAAATCTTGATGTGAGACTGAGCATGCTTAGAATTACTGATATGAAGAATTCATCCTGACCCAGAAAAGGATTGCTTGTTAGGGAATAAAGGAGTCCAACTTACGGATAAGCTATATTCCAACTTAGTTTGAAATTCAGTATTCAAGTTACCAAAGAAATAGGGAGTTAAGGTGGTAACTCAGTGGTAGAGCACTTTTCCTAGTATGTGTGAGGCCCTTGATTTGATCTCCAAACCACACAAACACATACACACACACAAAAAAAAAAAAAAAAAAAAAGAGAGAGAGAGAGAGAGAGAAAAGCTGCACTTAAGGCAAGCTTAAGCAAACATTTATTTAATATTCAGTATACATCAGACACTGCTAGGACCTTTCACTTGTGTCCCATGATTATTAAAATAACCTTGAGGCAGATTTAATTATCCTTGTTTTATACACTAGGACACTGGGTCTTGGGTTATAGACCTTACTCAAGGTCTGTTAAAACGGACTCTTTATACACTCATGCATTCATTCTTTTTTTTCTTTAATTCAAGATGTACATATGTAATACCTACTAATGTCAGCTACTAAAGGAGATTTCAGGATGAGAGACACTAAAAGATATGATGTTTGTCCTTTAAGAGCTTACAGGAGTTAGCCACTATAAATGGTTGTCCTGTCAGGTCGCAGTAGTAGAGGTGTATTGAGACCATCAAGGAAAACTTAAGCTTGGATAGTTTAGTCTTGAGCTCTGGCAAGAGTTTACCAGTTCGGTAAATGAAATTCTAAGTAGAAGTAACATCTTTAAGGCATAGAATATGGGAAAATATGAATATTAGGTAGCAGTGAGCAGTTCAGTATGTGAAGTATACAGCTTGGGGGATAGACAGAGTGGTGGATATGGAGAACATCTAAGGTGGCATCATAAAGGACTTTGTGTATTATATTATGGAGTGTCTCTTTTTATTCAAAAGATAATGATGACATTGAAAAATTTCTACAACAGGAATGATTTGAACAACTTCCATTAATCACAGTATGAAGGTGGATTAGAGGGGTGTGTAAAGAATTCAGGGAGCATAGACTCAAAGGAATTTAATCCTTTCTCATCTCTTATTTAAACTATGGAAATAATAGTAAACATTAGAATGTGGGGGGGATTTCAGAGATACTTTAGGAGACTAAAGCTAGAGGACTTGCAGTTGATTTGGCAGTTTTGTTTTTTTAAGTTTGTTTAAAATTTGTTCTGGGACAAACTATAAACAGTTGTCTTTGTATCTAAAATAGCTCTTGGCATATAAACGGCACTTGATAAATATTTGCTGACTGGCTGACTGAAAGAAGTAAGAGGAGGGTAGGAAGGGATTGTACAATGACTCCCAGGTTTTTTAATTTAGGCATCTGGGTTCCGAAAAAAAGACAATAGAAAGATCAGTACTGAGTGTGAGCATGGGAAGTGTGGTGTTCTTCATAGTTTACATGGTTTTAGTCATTTTAAATTGTTGAATTTTTAAGTTTATATTTGTGTTGGCAGTTTAAAAATTCTTATCCAAGTTATTCATGCCTTTCGTTAAGGAGGTAAATAGTGCAAAACAGTTGTGTGGCATCTCCTTTCCCAAGCCTCTCTATTCTCATTCCTACTCCATGGAGTTATTGCTATAAAAAGCCTATGGTATTTTCTTTCCCTTAATTTTTTTCTGTGTGATTTATTCATGAACATACACAGTTTTGCCCTTTTTGACAGAACTGGAATTATTGTGTGCATATGTTTCTGTAAACAGTGTTTCAGACACCCTTTCATAGCAGTACATTTTGGTGTCACGATATGGATGAGTTATAGTTTTGTATCCATTTCCCTATTTGGTAGTTATTTAGTTTATGACTATTACAAATAATGCTGCAGTGAATAATTTCCTTTTGCACATATCTTCATACACTGTGAAAGTATATTCTTAGGGTAAATTCTTAGAGAGGACACTTTAGGTGAAGGGTTTATATGTTCAAAATCTTGATTGTGGAAATTGTCCTCCATAAACTCTATCAATATATTTTACATTTCTTCTAATACTATTTAAAAATCACCCAATTTATTTACTTACCAACAGTGCATGTGATCAGTCTTTTATATTGTTTGCCAATCTGTTGATACATGTATTATTTAATGCCATGAAACCCCATTTTCCTGGAAACTAGACTTCTATAACACTAGTTTCTCTCCCCCTTGCTTTTTCCTTAAATGTTTGAGAAAATATTTTCAGACTTTTCTCTGTAAATGTTTCTAAAAGTTCCCTTAGCTCTCTAGTGACTCTTCTCAGTAATCTTATCTATATTCCTGGCTTTAACTATTGTCTATAAACTGACAATGATCATATACTTTTATTGACTTTCAGCTTAGAGAATAAAAAATCAACTGCCTGCAACTTGACCTTCTTTCTAGATCTCATCTTCTCCTATCTGGAATGCTAAGTAGCTGTTGCTCTGTCTGGGATCTTTCCTTTTCACATTTTTGTTGTTGTTATTGTTTGTTTGTTTGCTACAAGGTAATAAACTCTCTTTGCCTTTTATCATAATTGTCTTTATGTGTTTGTAAAATTGGCCTCCTCCCACTCCCCTGGTTGAAAATCTTGTTTCTTCTTGCCAATAGGGTGAAATTTAAATTTCTTTTTGTGATTTTCAAATCCATGAAAAATCTGTCTCTCCTTATCTCTGGGCATTTCTTCTCCTTGATTCTCAGTCCTCCTACCTTTGGCAATAGTTTACAGGTATAAGTGGGTGAATGTATTTGTATTTTACTAGTTATAACTTAATTATGGCAAGTATTGGTTTTCATTTGTAAAAAGTGATATAAAAGTGTAACGTACACATTTTAGTTTAAAAGGTAAAGTCAGTTACAAAAAAGATGAGTAATTATGCAGAAGGTATGCACCAAAAATAGTGTAGGACATATGCAAAAGATTTCAGACACATAGATCTCAGTATAGCTTCATTGGAATGAAAAGGTCCTCTTTTATATTAGCCTTGTTACTAAGATTAAAGAGTCTTATGTCAGCAGAATAGTGAGGTTTGGGAGTCAGACAAATGTGGATTTTAATCTAGGACCCTTCATTCCCTCCTCTCCTCCTCCAGTGACTGCAACACCATACCCATTTTAGGTACTGAGAATATAAAGGTGACTTAAACAACCCTTCTGCCAGCTGGAGCCCATGTTCTAGTGAGGGAAGACAGTAAACAAGTGAATAATTAAATACATATGTCAGTTGGTGATAAGGACGTACGTTTAGTGAGGTGGATAGAGTGCCAGGGAGCTGTGGCTCTGCAGTCACTGCACTGTGTAGAACACTGGTGGTTAGGGGAGGGGGCAGAGGCAGAAACTACTGCAGTAATCCATGCACAAAATGATGGTGACTTGAGGATGCTCACAGTGGAAGAGATAAACTGTAATTAATTTCTATTATGTTTTGTGAGTCTAAGCAAACAAAATTTCTTGGTGGAAGCAGATGTGCGATGCGAGAGAAAAGTGAAGAATCATTGACAATTCTGGGGATTGAGTTTGAGCAACTAAGTCTGAGTAGCTGTCAATGAGATGAAGTATATTGCTACAATAGAGTCTAGGGACATTAATAATTTGGTTTTGGACAGTTAGTTTTAAGATATAATAAATGTGGGTATGTTAAATAGGCAATTGAAGGTTAGGGAAGATGTGTGGGCAGGAATTAAAAGTTCAGGACAGGTCAGCATGGTGATAGTATGTAAAGCCATGAGCTAGATGAGCTCATCCAAGAGTCTGTGAGAAGACGAGAAGCTGGAGACTGACTCTGGAGCACTCCAGCATTATAAGGCCAGGAGATGAAGAAGAACCCCCAGAACATACCAACAATAACCAGTGAGTTAAAAGTAGACTAAGAGAGAAAAATGTCCTGGAACTCAAGCATTTTTTTTTCCTCATTTGCATTTTAAGGAAATGAAAGTATAGTGAGATGAGCTACATATGATTGTATTGGTTAAACTAAAACTTGATTTCAGGTCTTCTGCCTGGTAACTGAATTCCATGCTTTTCATGGTACTGCATTGTTACAGATATGTTTATTTGCTTTTAATCTGCTAATCTCTAGAGGTCTTTTTTTAAACTCCCTTTATGATGAAAAGATTTCTCTTGTTATTGTATAATCTTCATGATTCAGACATTCATCTCTTCATTCCTTTATTCATTCAACCCATTATTGTAATCATTCCATATTTACTGGGCCCTAGAAATACCATAGTCAGCAAAACATACCCTTGGCCTTCATGGAGTTTTCACTTTAGTGAGAGGGAAGGACATTAACTGAACATTTACATAACAAATTCCTATAATTATAGGAAAAGTGCTTCTACCTATGAGCATTTTGCTTTGACTCTGGGGGTTGGCCTGGTGGTGATTATGAAAGACTTCTCAGAGGAAAGTGTAATTAAACTAAGATTTGAAGAGTGAACAGCAGTTACCCAGGTGAAAGGGTGAAGGGGAGAAGGTGCTACACTGAGGGAAGAATTCCCTCCCTTTGCCAAGACCTCCCTTCCTCTGTTAGAATTCATAATGTTAGCTTTTCATTTTTATTTTGATTTTAAAATGCATTACACACACACACACACACACACACACACACACGCATTAGTTGTAGAAGGACACATACCCTTTGTTAATTTATTTTTGTGTGGTCCTGAGGCTTGAACCCAGTGCCTCACTCATGCTAGGCAAGCACTCTACCACTGAGCTATAGTCCCAGCCCTAAAAATGTATTTTTAAGTATAGATTAATAGTTGCTGAACTTTTCATAGTATTGGACTTTTCTTTCACTTCACTCTCTGGGAAAAATCAATTATTTGGACTGTTTAGGAGTTCACCTCATAAGTCATTTGCTGTGAAAGGCCAAGGAGGACACCAGTTTTGCTGTTGTTAAGTCAATTAGTGCTTTTATACTGATGTTTTGTTTTTGCTAATGCAACATATTGAGTTTTTCCAAAGGGATGGTGATATATCTGCCAAAATAAACAGATATTTTGTTCTCTATTGATTTGGTGTATTACATGGACAGATCCCTAAGACTCCTTGGTTAAAAACTATAGTTTATCAAGTTTTTTTTTTGTTTTTTTTTTAAAGTTCTAACTAGTATAGGCACCAGGCAACTTTTCTTTTTCCTTTTTTCACACTGTCTTCTATTGACCCATAGCTAGCATTTTTTGTAGTATATGGTCCCACACATTGTTATAGTAGAAAATCCATTTGAACATTAGGAGGGAATTCTCAGGAGATGAATATTAAAATTACTAAAATTTCACTACACGTAGGTGTCACATTTTAAAATACAAAGTATCATCCATTGTTATGGTGAGTTATAAGATAAGAAGATTGGCTAGGCATTTAACAAATTAGGAGAGAAGGTTTGAAAAGGAAATTGACTAGAAAAAGCAAAAGATGAATTAATTTTTTGACTTTACCAAGAGATTGCTGAGCACATTTATCAAGCAAGGTGGTGGGACTTGCTTGGAATGACTTCAAAGCATAGTGTGATGCTGAGCACATTACATCGGAGGCTGATGTAGAGCAACAACATCAGAGATTCCTTTTATTTGACAAAATGGACTTTCTCAAGCATATAAGCAGTTAGTTTTTCTAGCCAAATGGGTTTATATAAGACAGTATAATTGAAAGAGAATGTAATTTAGAGGTAACCAATCTTCATCTTTATTTCTATACTGCAATGTTGTATGACCAAGAGTTACTCTCTAAATCTGAGTCTATAAAATAGAAGACCATGATGAAGTAATAAAATCTGATATTCATAATGATGACCCTGTGACAGTGAAAGTCCTGAAAAGTCTAAATTATTCACTATTTTTATAGTGTTAGCTTTGTCTCAAATTGTAAATCTTTTTATTCCTTTACTTCCCATTGCTGAATAATAGTGGGGTAGAGTATATGCCATGCTTTTCTGTATGCTGAAATATTGCCTTGAAGCCAATATAAATAAACATTTATGGTTCTGAAGAAGATATTTATTCTGTCAGTGTTTGACAGTGAGCAAAAGATTAGATTTTCTTGCATTTTCCTGCCTAATACTTCTCTATCCCTCTTTGAATTTAGGAGCATGTATCCTGTTTGGAAATCCTTTCTCGAGGGAACAATGCAGGTAGCCCAGTCTCGGATCAATATATGTGAAAATTATAAAAACTTCATTTCTGAGCCTGCCAGGACTGTGAGAAGCTTAAAAGAACAGCAACTAAAAAGGGTATGTTCCCACTTTTTTGTGTCTTTTATATATTTTAATACCTCACTGCTGCATTTGCAGTCTGTAAAATTATGCTAAATTGCTTTTAAAAATTTGAATGTTTTAAAAATATGGTCACAAATGTTTTTGGGTGGCATTTTGCTAGAATTTCTCAACCAAGTTTTATTAACTGATAAAGCTGAGTGTAATTTGAATTCATGGAAATTGGGAAAATTCAGTAAATACTCCTTAGAAATATAACTCAAGTAAATACACCTGTATAGTTTCACAGTATTGGTACAGTTGGATGTATATTAAAATAATTGTTATTAAAGTCCACTATATCTTGAGAACAGATTATATTAATTAGCCTCAGTTTCAACTTGTGCCATTTTGTATAATTAATCTTATTTTTAAAAGTCTAGTGTACTCTAAGGTTGAATTGTGTAGGATATACATAAGTAAAGTTTTTTTTCAAAAGGACCTATTTATTTGATTATCCAGAAATTTAAAATTCAAAGGAAAATATCATTGTCTAATGTGATTGTTATAGTATGCTGTTGAAAGTATATGTTTGAATTGTGTCCTTTTTGGAAAGAGAGTAATAAAATGGAGATTATCATGATACTTAATAAGTAATTAAAGTTTTTTTTAAGATGGTCATAAATCAATAGCTTTTTTTTTTAAGTTATAGGTGGACAAAATATCTTTATTTTTATTTGTATGTGGTGCTGAGGATCGAACCCAATGCCTCATACATGGTAGGCAAGTGCTGTGCCTCTGAGCCACAACCCTAGTCCCAGTTATTGAAGTTTTTTAATAGAAGTATTAATACTTCAGAATAGTAAAGCAATCATTTAAGGAAATAATATTTCAGAATCCATCCATTGTTCCAATTCTGATTGTCATTTGTAAAAATACTAATCTTCTTGTTTGCCAAAGATGATTTCAGTTGCATAAAATAAGTGTGTTAAATGCATATGTGTGTATATATATAAAATTTTAACCTCTTAAAAAAGAGCACTTTTTTCATAGTTCTTTTTTTTAATTGATTTTAAAAAATAAATAAATGACAGTGGAATGCATTACAATTCTTACTACACATATATACCACAATTTTTCATATCTCTGTTTGAATATAAAGTATTTGACACCCAATTCGTGTCTTCATACGTGTACTTTGGATAATGATGTCTATCACATTCCACCATCCTTCTAATCCCCTGCCCCCTCCTTTTCCCTCCCACCCCTCTTCCCCATCTAGAATTCATCTATTCCTCCCATGTAGAGCACTTTTAACACATTTGTATAAAAATGTTTATGCTTATCTTTGCCCAAAATTATCTTGTTCAATGTAGACTATGTGATTAAACTATGTGACCACTCATCAATGATCTTAAGTTGGAAGAAAATGTACATTCATGTATGTGTATGTATCTGATTATGCAGAAAAAGGAGTAGAAGGGAAGAACAGAGAAATAATACAATTTAACTTGCTAACCAGGCAGAAATATTGTGGTTCATGTTGCCATTGTATTTATCAAATCTAACTGAATTACTGAAAAGTTCTACTTTTTCAAAATCTGAATCTTTTTTTTTTTTCCCTGAGGGGTATACATTTTATTGGAAACCTTAAATATTCTTCAAACAGAACATAATCTTCAATCAGGCTCTTGTGTGGCCTACACAGAAAACTGTGGTTTTTAGGATTAAAGGCAAGGAGAGGGAAAATACACTGGATGAGTGCTTAAATTTGGCAAGAGGATCTCTCAGGATGAATGCTCTTCAGCCAGTTTATCAGCTTTTGCCACAGCTTCTTCAATGGGTCCCAATTTTTATGTGGTGCTGAGCATCCAACGCAGGGCCTTGCACGTGTTAGGAGAGCGCTCTGCCGCTGAGCCACAAACCCAGCCCCCAAAATCTGAATATCTTGAAAAAAATTTAGCTACTTCTTTGCTTTTCCACTGGTGGATAGATTCAGACCTGAATTATACAACATTCCTGGGCAAAAAATAAATAAATAAATAAAAAATTGAGATTTGACAACTAATTCTCTTATCTATGAATTAACTTGTATCATGATATAGATGATAATAATGGCATTTGTGTTTACAAGGCAGTTGTTGAATGTTATACAATGGGCATAACTATCATGAACCTGGGATTGCACATAACAAAACCTATTTCAAACTGGTTTAAGCCAAAATGAGATTGTATTATTTTATATCTGAATACTGCAGGACTTATTCAGGCATTGGCAAATCCAAGGCGGGCTCAGATGATGGTAGTAGAACTCACTCTTTCCATTAGCTCTGCATTCTCCAATGGTTTCATCTTTTAGCAACTCCTTCCACTTGTTGGTCCCCAGAATGCCACATTTAGAAATCTTCTGGATAGCAATCCCAGATTTTCAATTTTTCCAAAAGTTGTAGTAAAACTAGTAGAATTACTCTTCATATTGGCTACATCATTTTGCATTCCTACCAACAATGTATGACGAAGCTTCCAGTTTCTCCACAACCCTGCCGATACTTGACTTTTTTTTTTTTTAGTTGTAGTTGGACACAATACCTTTATTTTATTTACATTTTATTTTTTTAATGTGGTGCTAAGGATTGAACCCAGGGCCTCACATGTGCTAGGGGAGCGCTCTACTGCTGAGCCACAAATCCAGCCCCCCACTTTTTTTTTTAATCACCATCACAGTTGTGAGGTACTATTTCATTGATTATAATTTTGATAATGGTTAATGATGTTGAGTGTTCTTATATTTTTATCAGAAATTTTTCCTCCACTGTTGGCTTCCTAATTTTATAATACTATAATTCTTTTAGTAATTACCTTAGAGATTTCAATATGCTAATTTATTAGATTACCTTGATTTAGTAATTTTACTGTTCCCCAAACTTAGTCCCAAATTAACTTTCATAATCTACCTTGAATTAATATTTTACTGTCTCATGAACAATACAGAAATCCTCTAGCCCAGTGCAGTGGCACACACCTACAATCTCAGAGGCTTGGGAGGCTGAGGCAGGAGGATTGCAAGTTCAAAGCCAGTCTCAGCAACTTAGCGAGGTGCTAAACAACTCAGCGAGACACTGTCTTTAAAAAAAATACAAAAAGGGCTGGGGATGTGGCTTAGAGTTCAATCCTCGGTACAAAAAAAAAAAAAAAATCTTTCAGCAGTGTTGTTCTTTTTATCTTTCTATTATGACTTTTCTTTTGTTAGACCTTTTGACTCTGTCCATATTTCTTTTATACTTTTTCTACTTTGTATTTCTACCCTTTTTTCTATATATACTTCTATTGGTCTATTTGGCTATTTATTAATTCTCGGTTCTTCTATTCCTAATATTTTAAAAACTTATCTTTTGGAATCTTAATGTATTTTTTCAGTTACAGAATTTTAATGTGACTTTTTGGAGGTTAGATTCCATTTTTCAGTTGTAATTCTCCCTGTTTTCCATGTGCTCCTAATCTGTTTCATAATTCCACTAAATGAATCACTATGTGTTTTTTTTTTTATTGTATGCTGATCTTCTTGGTTTTCATTATTTGGTCTATGGCTTTAGTGTGCCTCACCATGCTGAACATTGTGGATCAAACATGTGAAGGTTCTTGAAGATGTTATTTCCAAATATGGTGATATTTAGCAGGCCGATAGAATGCTAGACCTTTGTCCTGTTAAGGTCTGGTTTTGGGGGTCCTTTTAGGGATGATCTATTTTACTTCTTTGGTCTTAACTGAAAGTACGGGATGCGTACTCCAAGACCTTTCTACTCTGACAAAACTTGAACTCTAGCTTTTCTTCTCAGCATCATACAGCAACTCTGATCTTCTGATCTCTGACCAGTCATTAGCTACTTTTATCTGCTGGGTTTCTTGGCGTTTCATTCTCCGTATACCTATTAGAAATCAACAGATGACTCAAGGGGAAATCACATGTAGTGTTTTGAACTTGCTCCTCTGTAATATCCTTCTTTCTAGATCTTTGCCTTACAAATTCCTGATGTTTTCATCATCCCCTGAACTACAGACTATCTCCACAGAATAGAGTAAGAATACTATTTTCTGTTTATATCCTATTTCTGTGCCATGATTCAACAGATGTCCTAAAAGGAGGGAAAGTTAGGTTGAGTGGAGAGTTATGTAGGTGTGGTCCTCTTCTAGGTCTCAATTCTGTAAGACCAGGGTATGCTTTGTCCAATTTTCACACTTTCCAGACTATAGGAAGATAGGCTAATTCAAATTTTGTCACCATGAGAACCAGTTTCAACTTAATATTCTCCCTCTATAACATTAAAGTTTATGTTCTTTTTATAATGTTCTTTATTTTGGCAGTTTTCTTTTGTATACTTGGGGATAAACAGACACATTATAATTATGAAGGACTTAAGATTATAATGAAAATTACAATGAGAATAATACCATAACCTTTTCTGGATCATTTTTTAAAAATATTTATTTTTAGGTGTAGTTGGACACAATTGCTTTTATTTTATTTATTTTTATGTGGTACTGAGGATCGAAACCAGGGCCTTGCATGTGCTAGGTGAGTACTCTACCACTGACTTACAACCCCAACCCCTTCTGGATCATTTTTTATATGTGAATATTTGCTTTTAAATCAGAACAAGATCCACAGTAACATAAGGCTTTTTGCCATTCTTCTATTTACTTAGTAGTGCCTTTGTCCATATTTTTCTCATTTATACTAGAGTTTATCTAAACTCCTTAAAATAACTGTGATTTGGGGGTTTGGGTTTTAGCTCAGTGGTACAGCACATCATTAGCATCTACAAATCTCTGCTTGGCCCCCAGTGCCACAAAAATAAAAGAAAGAATTGTGACTCGTATTTGTTTAATAATTTAGAATTTGTAAACTGCCACCATATCCATTACAGTATTATCAGATTTAAAGAGATTTAGATTTGAACCCAGAATTTCAAAAAATAAATAAGTAAAAATAACAAAAAACTGTTGAAATTTAATATTTAAACAGTTTTACAGAAAAATACATATAACTCCTTTACCTTAGTAGACTACTTAAGCTCTTAATCATTTTATCTTCTTAGAACTTAGAAAAAGGAGACTATTGATTATGAAGAAATAACAGAATTGGTTTATTCTTTTTTTTCTTTATTGCCATGATATCTGCAACAGCAAGTCTTTTTATGGTTGCTCTTTTTGTGCCTTACCTTAATGTCAGTCATGATTGTTAGGCAAACTGTGACACTATTTGACACAGTACTTGAGATGGAAGTACCAGCTGTGCATGGAATTCTAATTTGCAATTTGAAAGTCATTAAAAGTGCTGATTTTTCTCTTGGGTTTCCATCCTGAAGGAATAATGCATGGTCCTTCGGACAAACTCATTTCTGTCAGCCTGAAAACTAAAAATTGTAATAATTGCACTTTTGTATTTTACAGTGTGTGGACCAGTTGACAAAGATCCAAACTGAATTACAAGAGACAGTGAAAGATTTAGCTAAAGGCAAAAAGAAGTACTTTGAGACTGAGCAGATGGCTCATGCAGTGCGAGAGAAAGCTGACATTGAGGCAAAGTATGTATTTTAATATTTCTGAGAAAATTATTATGCAGTTAAATGTTAATTAATACTTTGTTCTCTGTTTATATAGCATATAGATTTGTTCTTAGGTTGTGTTGGTTTCATTTGTTCTACATATGTTATGTACTTTAGGTCCCATTTTCATTTTATATTGACTGGTTTTTATCTGTTAAAGTGGCAAAGTAGGAATCTCTGACCTTTAAATTGAATATTTAGACAAGATAAATGAACATTGTACTTACAGACTTGAAAACTTATGGAGAGTCTAGTAAAAGTCATGATGATATCTGAAAGTAGGGTTTAAGAGCCTCATTTTATCATGCTAGACTCTAAAATTCAGTTATAGTTGAAATCCCTATGATATCTCAAGATGTCATTGAAGGAACAATAGCACATCAAGTGAACAAGAACACTGACCTCCTTTTAAAACCCTATCCCAAGCACTGTTTTTTATTGTACATGTAATTCTCATATTTCTACTTTTTAAAGTATGCTTTAACAATTTTGTCAATATTACTTTCAATATATGTGAATTATAGTCCTTTATTTTGAGACTTTTTTTTTTTTAATTTTATTTTTATGTGGTGCTGAGGATTGAACCCAGTGCCTCATGCACACTAGGCAATTGGTCTACCTTAGAGCCACAACCCTAGCCTGAGCCTATTAAGGAAAGGAAGGACTGGCAATTGGTAATAGGAGATACCAATCAAGCGATAGAGATTTTTGCAATGACACTTTGAGGAAGTGTGATAAATATTTGTGGGGGGGGAGGAACTGTGTTATAGAACTGAACTTAGGAGGCTTGTGATCAGGAGAGCTAAGACTTCTGTTAACAGTGCTGATTGTTGCAAAATCTAGGAGTCCAAACTCCTAGGCATGAAATCAGAAAGGTTTGGACAATTGTACAAATAGTCCAGCAAGGAGGGGGTTACCTCTAACATGTTCTTTTGTTGTCATTGTTGAGACAGGGTCTCTCTGTGTGTTGCCCAGGCTGGGATCGAACTATTTATCCTCCCGACTCAGCTTCCTGAGTAGCTATTATTTATAGGTGTGTGCTAACACACCTAGCTTCCTAAAATGGCTTTTATCTGCAAGAAATTTAAGCAACTTCATCAGCATCTTGGGAAAATTCAGGGGTTCCTGGGAAGTTTATTTAGTATGATGGGTTGATGAATGAATACTCACTGAACACTTGATATTACAGTGTAACATTTAATATTTTTCTAATTTAAGTTTATTGTTTTTATTTTATTTTTTGAGCATTCAAATATTTCCCATGCATTCATGGAGTCACTAAATCCATCTTTCCAATAAGATCTGGAGGTTAGCAGATTATTGTACCATTCTGGCTTTTAGGAACTTGTCTTTTAAACTCTGGGATTCTAGAACAGACAATTGACAGATTTGTAGAGCATCTACAAATGCCTAATTTAGCCATGGGTGGACTGTTCCTGAGAAGTGTGTATTTGACTAGGTCTATTTCACGGAACTGATCACAAGGAACTGCCTTCTCATGTGGCCAAATTCAAAGTGAGACATTTTACTTCAGTGTATAACTTCTCTGGAAAATTAATTCAACTACAGAGTAAAAAAATGGCTCTATGTCTTAATTCTGTTAATATTTATTTAGTCATTATATTGGGCACTATGGGTCACAGATAAGTTAGGTGCGCTTTTGTGCCTTCAAGGAATTTAGAGCGTATAATTTTAAAAAGTAACTTTATCATTTGTCTATTCATAGTAAACTCAAAGAAATTATCTACCTAAAGACACTCACCTAGTCACTAATTGCTTAGAGTAGTAATATGAAAACACTGTTATGAAAGCATAGAAAATGGAGAGATTACTATTGCCTGTTGATAAAGGAACCTTTATAGAAGAAGTGATGCTTGGGCAGATTCTTGGAAGAAGAATGAGTATGTTTTTTTCTAAGCAGAGGTGGGAAAATCAGGAAGGGGACTAAGCACTGAAGTAAATATAGTTTTGATGGATGCTATGATAGGCCATTAGGAGAGACTACAGGAGGAAGAGGGTTAGTCTGAAGGAGATGGTAAGTTCCATTTTAGATATGTAAATTCTGAAGAGCCTGGGAGACACTGACATGGATATATTTGGGAGGTGATCAAATATCTGTTCTTATGTGAGAATTTGGCACTGATAATTGAATTCTGAAGGTTATAGGATGTCCATCAGTTATAGGGATGCAGTCATATATACAGTGAGATATGAATTTGAATTTGGAGACCCAAGGAACATTAACATTTGAAGGATAGATGGTAAAGACTAGTACACAGTATAGTTTTTTATTTGTATAGTGTGTGATTTTTAAAAATCCTTATTTTTTTTTAGATTGTCATCTTCAAGGACATTTTATTCTATTGTTAATACCTACCTAAATACCATACAAGAAGTGTATGCAGATTAGCAAATGAAGCAGACGCCATAAATTTAAATCTATAATTTATGTTGGACAATCCATGTGCAAGTCAGCCTATTTGGATAATGACTATTAAAAAAGGAGAAATGACGGTGCTTCAAGCACAGTCTTTCTTACCCTGACAGGTCCTTTCAAATCTTAATATAGGTAATCTTAGCTTTCCTACATCAAAATGAATAGAAATATTATTAATAAAATAAAAAATTCCCATAAAATAAGAATACAATTAGGCAGGAAATAACAGAAATATCTTAGACCCAATTTTTTTTTTTTTTTAAAGCAGTGGGGAGGAGTTAGGAAACTGTATGTTCATCCCTGAATGTTTTCTCTCTTGTTAGAAATACAAGAGGCAACTTTTGCTGTCCTCTTCACAGTGTCTGTGCACAGACTGTCTGCTTCACTTTCTAGTCCCAAATGGTCTGCAACTCTGCTTCATACTAAGAGGCATAGCTGCCAGTGCATGCATTGAACTCTTCCATGGCAATCACCATGACACTGCAGTTAAGACAAACATTTCAGCTTCAAAAAAATCATGGCTGTGGGAGTGTTGCTTGTTCCTTAGCATCTGTCTGTTGACTTTTTCTATATACTTATCTCTAGCCTTTAAGGAAAAGCAGCATACTACTGCTGACTGACAGGTTATGGTTCCCCTCCAAAACTTAGGCATCAAGGGAGATAGGTAAGAACACCAGAGTGGGAGAAGATTAAATAGAACAAAAGTTTACAGGACAGAGAGTCTTAAGGGCCTTCTTAGTAAGTTCAGATTACCTTTAGGAGGGAGGGGGCACACAGGCAGGCAAGAACCCAAACACAAATCATTTTTAATGAGGGGAGTAACAAAAGCAAGGACTTTCTAGAGCCCCTATAGATTGCATTCTGGTGTTGTACCACCTGACACACATAGCTCTGAGAACCTTGGTCTCCCTAGGTTGGTTGCCCTGGGGTTTCTCTGACCTTTTGTAAAAGAACTGAAGTGTGTGGAATTATATGATACTAGGAATAACATATAGTTTGATGACTCTTTTTTATTAGAATATACTAATATATTTTGATTTTTTCTTGGTCAAATTGTATTTTTAAGGGTATTTTAAATATGTTAATCCCAGTATTTTTATTTTCCTATAATATTAAATATATATAATATATAAATAAAGGCAAATAAGCATCACTTTTGACTTTTCATTTGTAAATTCACTTTAGAACAGTGTCTTGGAAAAGGGTTATTAATTTTTTTAGTAATTATAACATTTAGTAATCTTATTATGATATGATTTTATTAAACATTCTTTTCTATTTTTATATAGGTCTAAACTTAGTCTTTTTCAATCAAGAATCAGTTTACAGAAAGCAAGTGTAAAGGTAAGTTTTTGAGAGGTGTATTTCACAATTGAGAAACCTTACCTTATATTTTAAAAGTTTGGGTCTTTTGAGAATGGAAGTGGGGTTTTTCTACTTTAGAGAAGCATTTCAAAGTCATTAACCCAGTGAGGAACTTTCCTTCCCAGTGATGGGATTTTTCACCCAGGTGTGGACACTGGACATAGCTTGCTTCCCAAGACTGCTTGAGGGGTAGGTTTGGATGCGTTACAACTCACGTAGTCTGTATATTTAACTCTTAGTCCAAGAGACAAAGTGCAGGGGCTTTCAGAAGCGCTGTAGAATCATTTCACTCAGACTTAGACCTCTGACCAGGCCTTCTGGGCTGGTGCAAGTGAGTTTTTCTGAGGGGCCCTCAAACTGGAGTACCTGTCAAGTAAGCTTAGAGACCAGAGTTTGTTGCCAAGTTCCCCACCAACAGGAAGTTCTTCTGACACATTTGGATTGTTGATTTTTAAAATACTAGTATCTAAAACCTCCAGATTTACCCATGTCTTCAAAAATAAGGAACCTTTATTTAGAACCTTTATTTTCCCATCTCAATAAACTCAAAAAAATATTTTTCAGTTCTGTAGAAAACTTTGGAATTATGTTAAGTATAAATAACAAAGGTTTAAAAATGTTTTCCCCATGTTTTCAGGTACTATTTCATTTCTTAATAGTGAAGTATAATTTTTACATACATGTAAATGTTTTCTCCACATTGTTATTTTTACTCTTGGTGGGGAGCCATTAATTGCTGTTTTTCCATACAGTATCAGTTTGCACTGATTTTTTTCCTTTTATTATTATGTTTTAGTTAAAAGCCCGGCGATCTGAGTGTAATTCCAAAGCTACCCACGCAAGGAATGATTATCTTCTTACACTAGCAGCAGCAAATGCACATCAGGATCGCTACTATCAAACAGATTTAGTTAACATTATGAAGGTAATACAGTTTTAATATCTGTGATAATTTTGTTTCATTAAAAACAAACAACCCATGAGCTGGGTGTTGTGTACATAGGATTGAGTATAGAATACTAACAAGGCTACTTTCTATTTCATTAGAATGTGCTCAATATTGGTGACCGACCTTTGTTTTCAAGTAATTTGGAATTAATTTTTAATGTTTAAAGCCAATTCACAGTAAAGGATTGCATTATTCCTTAGACATAGACGATATTTGCTAAATAGTGATTATTGATATATAAAAGATAAGATTGATATATAAAGTGTGACATAATTCTTAAGCTGGGAAACTGCTTCTGAGCTATTTCCTGAGACTCGGGTCTTTAGACTCAGTAAAATATTGAAGCTAGATAGAATCTTCAAGTACCTTCTGAATTATCAGAGAAAGGCTGGTATTTCAGCATAGTTTTATTTTTTGTTAGGTTGTACTGTTATTTGTTATTTTCTGCAAAATATTTTTTTAAAAACAGGTTTTACAAAAAAAGTATATAGTATGAAAATATTTTTATAAAAAGGTGTGCTTTATATTTTTATAGTGTATTGTTTAAGAAAGTCTGAATTACTTATTAACCAGAATTTTGGCTATTTTTTGTTTTTAAAAAAACTTGGATTTTCTCCAAGTGCCATGGTTTTATCTTTAGTAGGTGAAATTATGCATTAATATTTGATGATTTTTGAGTTGAACAAACAAAAAATGCTGGTGGTTATATGAAGATGTCTTCTACTCTGGGTTTTACTCTGAAATACTGAAGATTGGATTACAATTTGTATATCCTGATCTTTCCTCATCTATACTACCTGTATTTATTTTGAACTTTCACAGAAGTAAAGGAAAGGGGGAAGGGGAGGAGAAGAAAACCATTTTAACCCACTGCCAGGCTGCCTCTACTTGCAGGCAGACAGACTCCACTTTGGATTGCATCTCCTTCTTTCCTGTTTTCTTAAGAACCCAAACATTGGATTATTCTATCTTTCTCTTATATTTTCAACACACCACTCTTAAATGTATAGTTCTTAATGACTCTTCAACACATGTATTGCTATAGTTAAATTGCTTGTTTTAGGAAATCAGCAATTAAAAATGGGGTTACAACTGGCGCAGGCAGTCTTTTTACTACAGAGGCTCTGGGAAAAGAGATAAGCTTTATCCAGAAATTACAAGTTCCTTGTTTGAAAGTAAAGATGGAACATTTCCTGAGACGTCTAGCAAAAGGCAGGAATGTTGGAGGATGTCAAACTGGACTAAGAAGTAACTTGTTGCAAAATTTCTTCTTTCCGGGCCTGAGGTTGTAGTTCAGTGGTAGAGTGCTTGCCAAATACTTGTGAGGCACTGGGTTCGATAAAAATAAATAAACAAAATAAAGGTATTGTGTCCATCTCAAACAAAAAAAAAAAATTTTTTTTTTTTTAAATTTCTTCTTTCCTTTTTGTTTATTGCCTGAAATCCCCTTTTCTGCCATTTGTCCTGTTGCAACTTCTGCTGGTTAGAACATAGGTTAGAATAATGAGACAGGAAATTATTTTATATCCAGATGAGAACTCTATGTGCCTTTCCCCAAAGAGTATTGGACATAGAGGTTAAATGTTTTAGCATCTTATTATAGTGCTTCAGACTTACCTGAGAATTGGCCTCTCATTCATTCTAGCATGACTGCTTTAGGAAAATGTATTGTTTCAAACAATATATTTACTGAAGATGATTTTTTGCACAGCATTTGATTCCCTATATCCTGTATATGTCTACCATTAGATCAAAGCTGATAATCTACAAATTAAGTATCCCTTATCTGAAATGCTTGGGACCAGAAGTGTTTCAGATTTTAGATTTTTGGATTAGAGATGCTCAGTCTTTATAACAATTTTTTTATCCCAGTGAATATTTATTTTTAGAGCAGCAAGGGCTATATTCAAAGCACAAAATGGACCCCCTGTTACATTTTTCTTCTGTCAATTTCTACTTTCCATTTCTGTGGAAAAAAATGGACAAGATATCTCCAACTGCTTCTTTCTGAGAGAGGAAGAAGTTGGTGGGGAGTGACCTGAAGTCTTTATTCTCTATCAGGTGGGGCGTGGACAGTTAAGGGTACTCAGCATCAGGGTAATCCAGAGGTCCGTGGTTGCCATTGGTGGGTAACTGGACAAGGTATACATAGGGTAGGATCATGCTAGGATAATAGTAAACAAGATAGCAAAGCATTACTTTTTTGTAAACAATTAGCACAAAAGCAGTTAGTATTTCTGCCAGTCTCTGAAAACCATGAAGACAGTAATTCATTAAACCTTAAGGTGTATTGAGGTGTCTTACACCCAGACAAAGCAGGTTCCTGCTCAGGAGATGTGAGCCACCTGGGAAAATAAAATGTCTGAAATAATCAGTAAGAAATACAGAGCTAAAGGTTAGAGTTTAAAAAGTGGAGCATCTGATGGGTCTTCCAGTCTTGATAGGAGCTGGAACTGGACAACTGAAAAAGGGGGGAATACATCAAGGGCAGGGATAAGGTTTTAATGGGAGGAGTCTTATTTGGTGCTTCCTTCTTGGTGTGGTAGGTCTTGCAGTAAACAGGTTGATTGGTATTTGACAATCTGCACCTATCTTCCAGAGGCTGTCTGGCTCCAGCAAGTCACTCCCCTCTCCAGAGCTGAGTTAGAACTTGAGCAGTAGGTTAGGCAGGGGGCCATGTAATCAAGCATTCTCAAACCAGTGTATTCGTACTGGGAGTTCCTGATACCAGGCTTCCCTGCCTAATGGCTCCACCACCGCTCAGTTTATCCATGGCTCATAGATGGCTCTTGGCAAAGGTGGGATCTAACGTTCCATTGATTTGTAAGTGGAGGCCGTTTAAGACTTTAGAAACATTAGCAGAGTTGTTAGAAACATAGACAGCATTTAGTTGCTAAACTCTGTCACATTTAATATGCTTAATGCCAGTTTTTATTTTTCATCCAACAAGAAGCCATGACTTTTTAAATGCTAGAAACAGTACAAATTTCAAACCAAGATGTAGTTACCCTTTTGAAACACCAGAAAAAGGTTCTGGCTTTCAGATATATACATTGTTAATTCTATTGTAGCATTTCCTTGCTTATAAGATTCTTAACTGTTATTCTCCAGGGCTCAGACCGCATTTTCTCTTAACACATTTGCTTGTGACATGACCAATTCTGTATCCTTAGCTTCCTTACTTGTTTCATTAACCTCTTCCTCTTCACTCTTTTCTTGTACCAGTTGGAGTCTGTGTGTTTTTTTCAATGTTTGAGAAAGCTTCACCTTGAACTGTGAATTTCTCAGCAGCTGCTAAATGTGCTTGCCGAGGTAAAACTTCAATCTTGGCTTTCCCAAAAACTATATAGGTATCTGGATCTGGACTCTTACAGACATCTGGTTTTGTGATGACAAAGAGGATATTCTTAGATATTTTGGGATATTCATTCTAATAACCCAGCCTACCAAAGACCCAGTTTGGACATAGATTTCTGTGCCTTCTTTTCACTTTCTGTTTTGCTTTACTGACTGATTCTTCATCGATAGCATTTAGTTTTTATAATGGCACAGGTGTCCCCTACCATGAATATTTTAAAATGAGCTAATATTAGCTTAAACAGCAGCAAAACTAAAATCTTAGTCTGAGGGTAGCTTCAGTGATAAGAGTGTGCACCAAGAATGTAGAAAGCCCTGGGTTGAATCCTAGCACCACTTAAGCAAACAAACAACCCATTTTGTTTTGTGGTATAGGGAATCAAACCCATGGTCCCATGCATGCTAGGTAAGTGCTTTACTACCGAGCTATATCTCTAACCCAAATCCTATGTTTTCAAAATTGAATCTACACCAAAAGAAGATGTCCTTCAATAAACCAGGAAAAAATACCTTATTTGGGGGACCTGTGCTCTGCCAAAAACAGAGAAAGTTAATGAACCTGTCCAACTGTCAGATTATTAGGTGTTCTTGAACTTCTTTTGAAGTCCCCATGCTTGTTTTTAATCAGCATTAGGTAGATTATGCTTCTAATTTTTCGTTTCATGAAACATTTTAGAGTATTGATTTAATATAGAGGCAGAAGATCCTTAAAAATGTAGTGTGACTAACTTATTTCTTCCTCAGGCTAATTCTGTGGGTCTGCAGTATTGGAAAACTCCCATCCATCACTCTATTGGCTTCCATCACTGAATTGACCACAGTTTTGGGGTACCTTATTTAGAAATGCTTATTGTTCTGAGTAGATGTTAAGGTGATAATGCCCTAGTTAGAATCTTTTTAAAAATTATATGGACAGTTTAGAAGCAGAGGATTTTGTATTGAAGACTTAAGTACCAGAGTTTTTTCTATTGCAAAGCTGATCTTTGGTCTTGGCTTTGGAACATATTTCATCTCCTTCTGCCCTCTTAGGCACCAAAACAATTGATTATTCTATTTTCTCCATATAGTTCTTAAATTCTGCTGCTATATTGACAATTGTTGGGATCTTGATGATGATACCTCATCATGTCTGTCTTGGAGTTACACGCCACTAGTTGCCCTCTGTCTGATGCTAGCAAGTTGTCCTGAGATCTCCTTTTGCCGTCTCCTCTCTGGATCTTCAGCTTTTTGTATCATATGTCTTTTTTTTTTTTTTTTTTTCTTAGTACCTTCTTGAGAAAGGTATAGAAAGTAAGCTTTTTTGAGGTGCTGTATCTATGACAATGTCATTATTCTGTGCTTATAGTTGGGTATACAGTTAAAGGTTGAAAACTGTTTTTGCAAATGTCGGAATCCATAATCCATTGTTTTCCTGTTTCCTATATGGCTTGAGAACTCAGAGCCATCCTGCTTCTTGGATTCTTGTATCTGATTTCATTTTTTGCTTTTCGTTTTTAGAAATTATGGACTATTCTTAGTATACCCTTGGATTTCTTGGATTACTTCTTCCCTTTGTTTTTCTCTTTCTGGAACTCCTTCTATTAATATGTTGAGTCTCCTGTTCTGGTTTTTAAAATTTC